TTGGGAATAGATCAAAATAAAAAGTTTCTGCATAACAAAAGAAACAACCAACAAAACTTAAAGGGAACTTACTGAATGGGAAGAGATATTTGCAAATTCCATATCTGATAAAATGCAATTTTCTAAAATATAAAAAGAACTTATACAACTCAACAACATAAAAACAAATAATCCAATTTAAAAAAATGGGCAGTGAACATGAAGAGACATTTCTTCAAAGAATACATCCAAGTGGCCAACAGACACATAAAAAGATGCCTAACATCACTCATCAACACAGAAATGCAAATCAAAACCCAAATGAGGTATCACCTCACATCTGTGAGAATGACTAAAATGGAAAAAAATATATATACAACAAGGAGCCCTCGTGTTAGTTCTGGTGGGGATGCAAACCGGTACTGCCAGTGTGGAAGACAGTATGGATGTTCTTCAAAAAATGAAAAGTTATGCAGTAATTGCACTAATGGGTATTTACTCAGAGAGTACAAAATGACTAATTCGGAAGGATATATGCACCCCTTTGTTTATTTTAGAATTAATTATAATGGCTAAATTATGGAAGCCTCCCAAAGTTCATCGATAGATGAATAGATAGCGAGGAAATGGTATGTGTATTCAATGAAATATTATTCAGTCATGAAAACAGCAAAAGCTTGCCTTTTATAACATGAATGGATCTAGAGAGTATAATGCTAAGTGAAACAAGCCAGTCAGAGAAAGACAACTAGCATATGATTTCACTCATTTTTGAATTTCAGAAACAAAACAACAAATACGGGGTGGAGGGGAAGGGTCATACCATAAAACAGACACTCACCTATAGAGAAGAAACTGGTGGTTACCAGAGGGGAGGTTGGTGGGAGGAAGGGTGAAATAGTTGAAGGGGATTAAGGATACACTTATCTTGATAAGAACCGGCTAATATATAGAATTGTTGAATCACTATATCGTACACCTGAAACTAATATGACATTGTATGTTAACTATGGTGCAATTTACCTAAAATGAAATAAAAAATAAATTTAAAAATGGGGAAAAATACTATCAGCTAAAACTACCACCTCGTTTATCTCTTGTTTTCAATAATTATATGGCATGTTACTATGTCTTAAGTTTGGGAATTTACCTGAGAACAATATTAAATACATCAAAAGCCTGAAAAGTGGTAATATTGTGTTGCACCCGATTTTAGTGGGAAACCTGTATTTACCCATTACATATTCCTATTACCTGCTTACTGAGTAATTTTTTTAAGTTTTTTTTATTTTTTATTTATTTGAGAGAGCAAGAATGAGAGAGAGAGAGAGAGAGTACATGAGAGTGGGGAGGGTTAGAGGGAGAAGCAGGCTCCTCGCTGAACAGGGAGCTGATGTGGGACTCGATCTCGGGACTCCAGGATCATGACCTGAGCCGAAGGCAGTCGCTTAACCAACTGAGCCACCCAGGCACCCTGCTTACTGAAGTAATTCTTAGTAGTTCCTTGTTCTTAAAACAACTGCATTAAGTATGCATTATCAATGCAACACATGAGGAAATTGAAAACAATCACATTCTCCTTTGTCATATGGATTCCAAATACCTCACAGATTTTGACTCATGTTCTGACTCTATATTCCATGTTTATTTACTGCAGAGTACTATAGGCTAGACTTTATATGTCCCTGCAGAATAAAGAATCATTCTGGTTGATGTCCCCATGCATTGTTTCCATTCACCTTTTTCTCTTGGTTATTATTCTATTTGGGTTAAAATTACTTTTTAATAAACTTTACACTCACAAATAGTGATTCTTAGTGCCAAGCTCAATGTACCTTCTGTTCAGAACCTGCTGATCAAGTTTTCCATGTATGAGTGTGGACAAATACAAGTGGGTATTGACCCCATTCTTGTCTATTAATTATTATAAAGAACCTTTACAACCTTTTCTGCAATACTGATTGCAGGGGGTAAATTCCACTGAATATGTTGATTAGGGCAATTTAGTTTCATTTCCATGCAATTTCATTCATTTTCATTAACAGGGGCCTCTGAGAAACATTACAGAGACAGATATACTCAAGTGAGATTCAATCCCTATTCACTAAGAATTAACAAGACAGCAAATATTACCTCCACTTTCTGGTTTTCTTTTTCGATATGAGTGGTGATTGATTTATTCAAAATAATCTTCAAATCGTAGGGGTTCAAATATTTTATAATAATCTAAATTTCGAGTTAAAATTGTGCAGGGACTGGAGATTGGATGTCAATGGAATTAGGACCTTTAGTTGCTGTTAGTTCACCTTATGGGGAGAACACAATTTTCAGAAAGTGTTATTAGCTTTCGATAGATTTAGAATAGATGGGGTTTTTAACATAATCAGAGTCCAAAAACTGTACTGGTAGAACCTCCTTCAGTATTAGAATTACATTATTTTCTGAAGTCAAACACAGTGAGAAATTGCAATTGATATTGAGAAATGTTTTTAAGATTTGTGATAAGAGTAAAGGCTCAGTATTTATGGTATTTATATAATGTGTAAAAAAGCCTAAAGCATAGTCAAATAAAAACACCTAAATTTTACATGTTATGAAACACACATAATTAGAATCAGGGCTCTTGCTTCCAAAAGGAATGTGGAAAATAATGAGTATGACCAGATGAAGGAGAAAGAACATTAACTTACTAGTGACTGAGAGAACACAATCATAGGATTTAAAAATAGTGGTTTCACCCAGAACTGGGTGGGAAGGGGAGGATTCTTGAGGAAGACTTTACAAATCGCCCTCAGCCTACGGTGTATCTTAAGAGATGCAGCCCAAGAGTCAGACACCAAATTTAACAAAAATCTAGAAGTCAGCAAGAATTCTCTCTAAAGGTCTGGGTGGAGCGGGGTGGAGGGATGGTGAGGCTGGCAGATGTCATCTTTGTGTTCTCTCTGTGCGCTATTCCAGGATGGAAAGTGCCCATCTCCCAGTATTCCTGAGAGAGGCTGATTTGCATATATTAAAAGCTAGAGCCTGAAGTCCTAACCTCTAATATAACACACATCCAGGAGCTTAGTCAAATCTCTGGAAACTGGGGATTCTGGTCTGTGCAGCAAATGTGTTATCTATTTGCCATGATCCAGGTTTCTGGCACCTCCCTGTGAACATTTTGTGTATTCTCAGGCATGTCAGCTATTGTAGTTGCCACTCAAGGGACACACTTTTTGATTTATAGCTCTGGTGGCCCACAGGGTTACATTTCCAAAGGATTAGAGCAAAAAAAAAAAAAATTCTTATTTATCTATACATTCAGGGCTCAGTGAAGAGTGAACAGATAGAAAGTCTAGTTACCCATTCTTTCCCTGAAAGCAGCCTATTTTCAAACTTTAAACCCCACTACCTTAATGTCTCACTCCCTATTAGACTGTACCTAGGTATTGACTGAGAGCCTCCTCCTTCGGACACTTACACATCTTGGCACATCTTCAATTACTAGGAGCCAATAAAACGAATTAGGCATCTTGAACAATGACAAAAATTTTGAAGACAAACAAGGATTAGGGACAAGATGAATTACAAGGTTCATTCCCTACATGATATCACTCTGTCAAGACTGGGAAGGTGACTTTTTTTATCTACTACACAGAAACTAACACAGCAAGTCACAGAAATAAAGAAACAGGAATATGTCCAACATAAAAGAACAAGATAAAGTTTCAGAAACAACATTCAATGAAATTGAGATTACTGATTTACTTAATAAAGAGTTCCAAAAAAAATTCAAAGTAATGGTCACAAGAACTTTCAGAGATCAAAAACAGTGCAGGAAGAAAGTGAGAATTTCAACAAAAAGTTGGAAAATATAAAAATACTAAACTGAACTCACAGAGCTGAAGAATACATAACTGAATTGAAAAAAAAGAAAAATTCACTAGAGGGATTTAACAGCAGAAAAAAAGAAAAGAAAGAAAGAAAGAAAAGAAAACCAAAAATATAAACAGACTAGAAGACATAGCAGTGGGATTCATCCAGTAATTGGACAAAATTGCCCTCTGAAGGATTTAGAGCATTTGGGAAGACACTGAGAAATAAAAAGGTCATGTTCAGGGGCACCTTGATGGCTCAGCTGGTTAAGTGTCTGCTTTTGGCTTCAGCTCAGGTCATGATCCCGGGATCCTGTGATGAGCTCTGCATTGGGCTTCCTCCTCAGTGGAGAACGTGCTTCTCCCTTTCCCTCTGCCCCTCCCAATGTTCATGCTATCTCTCTCTGTCTTTCTCTCTCCCTCACAAACAAATAAAATCTTAAAAACAAACAAACAAAGAAACAAACAAACAGAAGGGTCATTTTGGAAGATGGAGTAACATGAGTGGAGACTAAGGAAAAATGTGACATATTATACATTTGTCTGTTATTTAGTGAATGCCCTCCATGGACCAGATATTGGATTTACACAAATAAAAAGGAAAAGTGATATTTATAAAAAAGAAATGGCCAAGAATTGAGGGCATTTTTTGAGAAAGTACAGTCCGACCTAACTAGAATGGATACAGCATTTTAGGAAACAGGAAGGAAAAGGAAAAGAACATGCCCTGAAGATCCACATGCTAATAGAACTTGAAAATTTGCATTGTGATTAAAACATAAGAATCCATTAAGGACTTATTTTTAATTTTTATTTTTTTAAGAATTTTTATTTATTTATTTTTTAAGACGAGGTTATAGCTTAGTTTTTGGTGTATTCCTTAGCACAGTGTCAGGGCTCTGCTCTTTTCCTATTACTTGGACATGTTGACCTCAGAATTATTCTCCTTTCAATCTTTTTTTTTCCCTTATCTTCCTGTGTCCCTTTCCTTTTCTATGCTTTTTAAGGTAAAATTATACAATTATAAGGTGATTTGAAAACTGTAAATTATATAAGAGGAATATCTCAAAAGACTCTGTTCTTAATTCAATCCTGTTGATGGAAACATAATTTCTAAGCTGAGCCTAGAAAGAATAGTCAATTTGCTTCCCTGGG